ACTGTAGTAATCCTCTACTGACTACTACCATTGGTAAGAGCTCAGTTCTCAGCCATGTGAGTAGCGGTTTGAAACCTCTAGGAATGTACATCTAAAGCCCCTTTCGACCAATTGCTTGTACTTAAAAAAAAAAACACATAATAAAAAAAAATCCTCTACCATATCAGGTTTTTCTTATTGATTAGGTCGGACATAATATATATAACTTCCAAGTTAAATGGTCTCTAATGAGTATGTTAATTATGTTTTTTGTTTTGTTTTATAGTAATTGAGTAGCTTGAGTGGTTTTTGTTGCTTCCAAACACGGAAGAACTTACAATTTGTAATTTTCATCTTCGAATAACTAGACTTCTAAGATTTTATGATCTTTTACTTGTCATCTACGGGATCTGAAACTTGTTTCCTAGTTTTAATTTTCAAGTCCAACCAATCCAAGTGTCTTTAAAAGGAAAAAGAAAAAATCAAGCAGGAAAAGGTTAAGTGTTGATAATTAGGTCTATATTATATCAAACTTCTAGGGAAAATTATAAATACCAAAAGATTGTGGGACCAAAATCAAATTTCTAAAGCATAGGGAGGGACTAAACTACAAAACTTCACGCATTATCAGAGGCTTAGAGCCAAAGCTTCTGGCTTTTGAAACCCGTCTTTTTTCTGTTTCAACTTGAAGCGGTTCCAATGAGCTACGGTAATGCTTCTTCCCCTTTACCTTGGATTGGAATTTTTCTTGATCAAGCTCTTTCTTTTCTTGCTCGAGTCTTACTCTGTTCTTCTATTGTCCTTCTGTTTACGCGTATGCATATATTTTGAGACGCTCTATTTAGGTGTGTGGTTGCCTAACATGATCAAAACTCAATTGCATGACTAACTAATCGCAGTAATTTCTTGCCTAAATTTAAATCGATCAAATGGGTGCTCCTTAATTTTCAATTTCAATAGAACCCATGTCTTAAATTGTTAAATTCATATGAAAATGCATTGATCTATATCAGGGTCATTCGTTTATTGCAATTTTTCTTGAATTTTCTGGGGTTACAACATTCAATCCAATCATCTGAACTGAGAAAGTTATATGATCGTCCATTAGCATTTAACCTGCTTTTAGTCTGGAAATGGTATGCATTTGTTGGGTCATTGGCAGCTAAATTGGTATTTTGATGATGCTAAGTTTGGCTCTCCTGTTTATCAAAAGAAACTTACAATGTGTTTTTAGATCATAGTTCCAAACTTGAGTTTTCCCGCCAAAAATGAAAGATAAAATGTCGAGTATACAATAGTTAATGCTTTCCGAAGTTTTGCTTATTTATTTTTTTGTTACACTTATTAGTACCCTAGTTTTTTTTAGAAATTGTAATTTGCTACTTTTGACTGATTTTTCCATCACAAGGTTAATTACTTCAGATGGTTCAGCAAACCATAGATTCTAAATTTAGTGAATATGGGATGGGAGCTACCGAATCCGAATTGCCCGTTCATGATAAGCAACTGTCAGTTCCTGTAAAGAAAACTGCGTTAAGAGATCTGCAAAATGATATTAGAGTTGCAATGCCCAACTCTATTGGGAACTCTCCTCTATTAAAGAATGGAGGACCCATTAGTAATGCTCCTAGAGTTTCGGGCACCAAGAGACCTTTACCTGAACCTGAGTGCCCGATGAGCCTTCCTCAACACCAGCTCCCCAGTAGCAGCGCTGCAAATGGGCATCTTGTCTATGTTCGTAGAAAGTCGGAAGCAGATGTAGTCAGAAGTAGTACTTGTGATAATGCAAGCATTAATGCTGATTGTCAGGTATCAAGGACGCTTAGTCACCACGAGGCAAGCACCCGACCCAGTCACCACGAGACAAGCACCCAACCCAGTCACCAAGAGGCAAGCACCCGACCCGTATTCCAAACAAAGGAGTCAAAAGTTTATTGCATTCCGGCTTTTGCACCTTTTCCGATGTCAGCTTCAACCATCCAGCCTGGAAAACCTTCAGTTAATGCCCCACATTGTAAGTCTGGTATAAGAATAGCACCATCAGGATCCAATCCCCTTGCTTCTGCTACCCAAACATTGGCTGGTTCAAAGGGACTCAGAAATCTGCACTGGGAAGAGCGATGTCATCAATTGCAGTTGCTATTAAGGAAATTGGACCAGTCAGAGCAAGAGGATTATCTCCACAGTATGCTCTTGAATTGAGAAAATCCACCTTAAGATTTTTTTGTTTCAAATTGCTTAAATTTTAACTATACTGATTTACCCTTTGATTTATGTTCGTCTGTTAGTGCTGCGGTCGCTCTCCTCAGTTGACCTGAGCAAACATGCAGTTGAGTTGGAAAAGAGATCAATTCAGCTTTCACTGGAGGAAGGTAAGCTGAAATTGTGTCTTACTCTTTTCTTTAAATAGAAAGATGCTAAACAAATTTCCTGACTTGGAAAGAACTAATGATGGAAATTCATGCTTTTTTGTCTTATTCTAAATATATTTATCCGTGGTCTTTGTGTAACTTCACAATGGGAAAATAAACAAAAATATTTCTTTACTTGCAATTACTTGCTTGCCTAATCCGCGATATATATTCGTCCACATCATCTCCGAAAATTCACAGGTTATTTTGTTGGAAGTAATCTTGTATTGGGGTACTACTTATTTTAACAACATTATGCAGAGTTGTGAGATGATTCTTTTATAACTATTTTCAGTGTCTGTTATTTGGTTTCTCAAAATTCTCAATGTTTTCACATGTTTGGTAGCTAAATTGATCTGCTGTACTTGTTTATGTACAAGGATTAAAGAAAGTGTATATGGAGATGATTTAAACAATCATCAATCAATAAGTTTCGATGGTAAGGATTTTTTTTCCTCTTTTAAAGGAAATCACCCGAGATGTTTACTTTGTTCCATGGATATTTTCTTATATGCCTGTATGGCATGTATACGTGACTAGGTTAATGATACTTTGTTTTATCTTCATGTATAGTAAAGTCAAATCATCTGTTGAGTTGGCCATCATAGTCCCCCATATGTACTCAGAAACATAACTGGTACTGTTCTCAGAAATTAAGAAAAAAGAACGAGAATGCACAACCGCATGATACATGTGACTTGGTGAAAACATTGGCAAGGCTGCTTGCGGATTGGATGCCTTGTTCATTCTTTTCATTGAGTTATGTTACAGATGTATGTGATGTATGAATTGTAAACAATTTGAGGTCCACTAAACTTATAGACGATATTTTTATGGACTTTTTGTGTGTGTGGATTTTGGTATTTCAGTGTAAGTGCTGTTGTCCAATTACCTGGCATATATCTTTTTCAAAAGCATTCGTTACTGTTTGTCATTTTAGACTCTATAATCCATTTTATGATGGGTTAGAGTTGAAAGAGCCCATGATCTTTTAATCTTCTATGACTACCGGGCAATAATATAAAGCATACTGTTTTGATATAATGTCTGGTAATCATGCCTTTTTTTCTGCGGCCACAACTGTTTAGTCGGGTAGTGGTGGTTGCATATGAAGTTTTAAGCTTTCTATTTGATTGTGCCTATTATATTTTCACCTAAAATATGTGGAAACAGCACAAAACCTATTTTTCTTATATTCCTCTTTGCATCTCCGATTCTTGCAGCAAAAGAATTGCAGCGTGTTGGGTTTTTGAATGTTCTAGGGAAACCTGCGAAGCAATTCAAAGTACCGTCAACTCATCAAGACCGATCAGATAAGTGAAAGGACGCCAGGGAGTTGTGATGCTCAGTAAATTGCTGCTGGATAGAAGTGTGCCTACTAGTTTCTTTTACACTAGTTGCATCTTTTCTGCAGTTGGTTTGCTGGTATTCACTGCAAGTCTGTAATATTCAGCCTATCATATATACTGTAATTTTCTTTTTTTTGGTATCAGCTGTATCCAAAGCTGCTGAAAATGATTGAATTGTAACTGTTGAAAAAAATGTAAAAGAAAATTTGTCAATTGTTATGATGCTATCTTAATGCTTCCTTGGTACAGCTTCTGATTTGATCCTTGCTCGTTTAGTTTGTGTTGGGCTATGCCCTCTGTGGTTCTCTGTGTATTGGGCTCAAAATGTGGTGGGCCTAGCTGTTTCCTCCATTCTTTTTAACCCAAGTTTTAGGTGGTAAAGTGAGGTTTTAGACCCCATTTAGTGGCTCGGCTTGGACAACATTAGAGTTGAGACCGTCCTTATAAGACACTACTGTTGTCCAATTTAATAAATTCATTCTCAAAATTTAAAAGTTTACTGAACATCACGCATAACACTTATCCTATTTAATTGAAATAATTCAGTTCAGTTCCATTTTGCCAAAAGGCAAGAGATAATCATGTACACCTTCAGCTCAGTTCAATGCTTCATGGAAAGTTTATGATATCCCAACCCCTACCCCACCAAAAAAAGTTAGTTAAATGAAAAAGCAACAATGACTGGTTTTTAAGTAGAATTTGTTGGTTACAAATTACAATGCATCTTTAGAAAGTGAAAGGGTTATACTTATTTTATTATTTTAAGTCCACATTATTTGTAAAGAGAAAAATAGAGATTTTGCGTAATGGAATATATATTTTTTTAAAGAAAAGCTGCTCATTGCCAGTTTTTTTTTTTTTTTTTTTGTTTGCCACCTTTATGCACCCGCAATGTGCTTGGGGAGGGAGAAAAGAAAAAAAAAACCC